AAGCTTCACAAACTGAAATATTCGAACTGCATAGGAGATGGCGACACAAAAACATTCAATGCCGTTTCTGAAAACAAGCCATACGGCGATGACCATCTTATTCAGTAAATAAAATGTGCAGGCCATGTGCAAAAGAGAATGGGTACAAGACTTAGAAATCTTAAATTAGTATATAGTAAAATGAAATTATCTGATGGTAAAACTATTGGCGGTAAAGGTAGGTTAACTGGTAGTTTAATTGATAAACTTGCGCATTACTATGATAATGCTATTCGATGCAATTCTACTAGTGTAAAGGAAATGCGGAAAGCCACTTGGACTGTTTGGGGTCATTCTTGCAGCACTGATGATGAACCGATGCACTGGTTTTGTCCTACAAATCCAAATACATGGTGTAAGTATATAATGCCGCAATTAATAATAATTTACAAAATTAAAAACACAAACCCTCAGTTGCTAAAGCTGTTCGAGATGTTATTAAGCCTGTAATTGCAGACTTATCTCATCCGGCACTTCTGAAGAAATGTTTAGGAGGTAAGACACAGAATTCTAATGAAAGTTTAAATTCATTATCTGGAAGTTTTGTCCTTAGACGATTGGTTCTAGTCTTCAGATTGCAGAGATTGCTGAAAATCTAGCAACTAGTGTTTTTAATGATGGAAATCAAATACTTATTACTATTTTAGAGAAATTTGGCTTAAAAATTAACAGAAATGTTTGTGTGTCCCCCTGGCTGAACGTGACAATCGTCGAATCTTTACGTCAAGACAGAGGCGCTTAGCATCATTTTTTGAAGCTCGCAGATCCAAGAAATTTAAAAAGAGTAAAGAAATTGAGCTGTTTCAGGAACAGGAAGGTATATCTTATGATCTTGGAGCATTTTAGCATGTAAATTTTAAGATTTATTTTCTCAAATTCAATTTAAAACTTTAAAGACTTTTTTCTCAGTTTGTGTTTTTTTTTTCAATTACGCGTATTGCGTTTCAAAAACTATCGTACTTTGATGTATAAAACTTTACACAGAATTATAAATTCTATCATAATCTTCAAATCCTAGCTATTTATAGTATTATAAATTTTTAATTTTTTGAAATATATCAACAAAAATTGAATTCTTTAAAAAAAATTTAAAAAGTGTACTTTTTTATTTTTAAAAATATTATTTTTTATTCTATTTATATAAGATAGGCCAGCATGTAATAAGGATATATTTGATTTTATAAATCAACTTATTGCTAGTAATTAGAATTATTATTGCAGAAAATATCATGCGCGTCGTAAAACTTGCTATTTGTTTTTACAAAAATTTTTCTTATTTTTATGTGCTTATTATTTTTAAAATTATGATTATATTTTAGATATTTTATATTTTTTTGAAACTTTATTCCTTTATAAGAAATGTGTAAAAGAATCAAATTATTTCATTTTAATCTCAAAGAATTATTTCTAGTCGAAAATTGTTTGTATTTTGCGCTCTTGAAACATTTTTAACACACCCCTGTGACCCCTTAAATAAAAGCTTGTTTTTTAAAAAGTTTTTTTTTTTACTTTTATTTTTTTTTACTTTATAGTTATAGCTAGACAGAGGTTTCTTAGTCTGTTAATCTCATTCAACATATCATTCTTGCACGGTCGTTTGCCATTTAATTTTGAACAGTCCAGCTAAGGAGTACTCAATCTTATTTTCACACCAGGCCACATATATATGATAGCTATTTCACTCGGGCCGCAACAAGAGGATAATAGGAAGGGGGTAAACATTGTTACATCGAAACAACATTGGACAAAGCAAAATTAATTAAAATATGAAAACTCTTTTTTTTTTTTTTTTTTACAATAATATTATATGAAAAACGAAAAATAATATATTTTTTTTTTAAAATCCGTAACTTTTTTTCAATTTTTGTGTGCAGAACTTGGATAATGCTATTTACAAACGAAAAAATGTTTTCGTGTGATTGAATTTAAAAATGAAGTTTTTAAATGTTTTATTAAAAATGTAAGAATTTTTTGTAAAATCGTAAAAAAAAAGTTTTAGTTATTTATTTTTAAAATGACTGATTCTAAAAGAAAAAGCCTGGACTTTCTTAGTGTAGAGAATATCGATTCAATAACAGGAAAAAATAAAAAATCATACGGAACGATTTTGAAATCATTTTCATGAACACGCATCAATTTGGACTCATTTTAGAAAAAAAATTGTAAAAAATAGAAAATATTATTTTTTAAAAAAAAAAAAATTATACCTTATCATAGCGAAATAAATCATTTTTCCGAGGAGGTAATTATTTTTTGTCTCTGTTTGATCGAAATAATAAGATGGTTTTTGAAAAATGGTCAAAAAATTGGAAATTCTTTAAGCTTAATCCGATAAGCTGCTCGGCAGAATAAAAAGCTAACAGAGGTTAAAGGTTTTCAATTAATATCTTTTAAACTGATTGTGATATCGGAAAATAAATCATCAAAACAGGCATTGTCATCCAAACTCAACGTGTATACAAAATTTCAAATCAATCGGTTGAAGACATCAGCTTCAAAATTGAGTTTCAAAATTCCACCCGAAAAAATGACGTTAATTATTATCTACACCATTAAGTTAAACGTATGCGACTATACGGCTGGGTGTATCTTCTCACTAACCGCACGACGACGAAACTCGCCGTTGTTACGAAAGATTGGGAATGATCCGAGAAATTAGTTTTGACCATTTATATTCCGAAAGTGCAATTAGCTAAAAAAATTAATCAAAAATCTTAAAATGCATAATTTAAACGCCAGGTGGCGAAGTTCCATTTTTTTTTCACCTTTTTATTTTTATCCTAGACATTTTTGAAACATGATCTATTTTTTTTATCAAACTCAGACAAAAAATAATTATAGAATCGGAAAGATCATTTACATCGCCACGATACGCTATAATTTATTTTGCAAAATAATGATATTTTCTAAATCAGTCAAAATTTATACGTTTTTATGAAAATGATTTTTAAATCGTTCCAATTGAATATTCTTTCACATTGATGAAATGATATTCTACACTAATAAAATTCATACTTTTCTCTTTTAGAACCAGTCATTTAAAAATAAAATGTCAAAAACTTTTTTTATGATTTTTCAAAAAATACTGAAAATTTTATTTAAATACTTAATAATTTCTTTATTTATCAAAATAATATCATGAAACATTTTTTTCCGGGTATAGAACAATATTATCTGTAACCTGTACAAAGATTTAAACAATTGCTTAAAAATTACTGCTTAAAAAAATTTTGTTTTTCGTTTTTCTCCCTTTTTGCTAGAAATTTTAAGCATTATTTTTGTTGCTTTTTTTGTTAAGAAATTACCATTGTTTGCAATCGTTATATGAAGTTTGAAGGCATTAAATTAAAAGTGAAGCAAAAAAAATTTAAAACAAATAATGCAATGCGAAATTGAATATCTCTTCGTTTTATTTCAACGGTCTTTTATTTCTTTTTTTCGGAAGATTTCGTCGCTTAGAGCGCTAGATTAGTAACTTTTGTACCCGGGTTCGAAACAACATCATCGCTTAGTTTTATGATTTTTTATAAAAAATACTCGGCAATTTTGTAATTGGAAATATAATTTATTTCGTCACAATACAGCATTTTTTTTACAAAAGAAAAAGTTACTTTATATATTTTATGATTTTTTTTAAAAGAATCAATATCGATGCGTTTATATAAAAATGATTTTTAAAAAACTCACACCAGTTACACCAAAATTACAGTTAGTGATTTAAAAAATAAAATGTCGAAAACTTTTTGTGCAATAATTTATTATTTTTGTGCCACTAGATAGCTGCACGTGTCAAGCTGCTTAAGAATCGGTGAATGCTCACTTACTCGAGAGCTCTAATAGCGAGAGGAGAAAGGGAATTTCCATGACAATGTGTTGTGCATTTAAAAATGTTCGTGCAACGCCGGGGGGAAATATACCTGTCTGACAAAAAAAAGAAGCAAAAAAATTTCAAAACAGGAAATTCCAAGTTATACACTCTGTAAAGGCCCGAGCAACGCCGAGATAAGTGGAAGAGGGGGAGGGGGTGGAAGTCATTTTGAAAAAAAATAATAGAAGTGCTGATTTTGTCAAGGAAAGGGAAGTAGAGAAAATCAGTGCAACGCCGGTCCATGCACCTAGTCTTTTTAACTAAATGCGATATCGGAATATAAATGGTCAAAACATGCATTATCATCCAAACTAAACGTGCATACAAAACTTCATCTCAATCGGTTGAAGATATCAGCTTCAAAATTGAGTTGCAAGATTAAACTCCAACATTTTACATTGCAAGTTAAATAAAAGCTTGTGTGTGTGTAAAATATAACATACTTTTTACGTATACAGTGTGAAAGTACTGTAAAATATCTCACGTTGTACAAATCAAACGAATTTCAATCATATTTTATCCTAAAAAATAATAATTGGAGTCGCGAGGGTTCGATCCCCGTACCTCTCGCATGCTAAGCGAACGCACTACAATCTGAGCTATTCTCCCGATTGACCCCTGCGTTTTTGTAAACATGCTCGTCTTAACACCTTTACAAGATCATTACAATAACTAGGTCAATATCGGAATATCAATCGTCAAATCCTGAGTTGTCATCCAAACTAAACGTGAATACAAAAATTTAATTCAATCGGTCGAAGACATCAACTTCAAAATTAAGTTTCAAAATTCCACCAAACAAATTACTTTAATTAATATTTTTTAAGTAATTGCGATATTGGAATATAAGGTTCAAAACATGCATTGTCATCTAAACGAAACGTGTATGCAAAATTTCAGCTCAATCGGTTGAAGATATTAGCTTCAAAATTGAGTTGCAAGATTCCACCCGAACATTTTACATTGCAAATTAAATAAAATCTTGTAAAATATAACATACTTTTTGTACGTATACAGAGTGGAAGTATTATAAAATATATCGTTGTACAAATCAAACGAATTTCAAAAATATTTTACACGAAAAAGTAATAGTTGAAGGCGTGGGGTATCGATCCCCGTACCTCTCGCACGATAATCGAGAAATCAACCATCTGAACTACGCTTCCGGCCGTCACCTGTGTTATTGTAAACATGCTAGTCTTAACACCTGAACAAGATCGTTACAGTAACTAGGTCGATATCGGAATATAAATCGTCAAATCAATCATTGTCATTCAAACTAAACGTGTACACAAAATTTCAGCTTAATCGGTTGAAGACATCACCTTCAAAATTGAGTTGCAAGATTCCACCTGAACATTTTACATTGCAAGTTAAATGAAAGCTTGTGTGTGTGAAAAAACAGGAAAGAACATGGAAATTTAAATTTGATCAAGAGAAATAATTTTTGAAGGAAAATTAAAGTGATTTAAAATAAATTTAAAAACATTGAACGGGGAATCGAACCGGGGTCAATTCACGTGAAGTCATTTTCTTTAATCACAAGGCTACGCGGGCTCGTGGAAAGAGGTAAATTTAGCTTCTAACATGAGAAAGATTTTTTTAATAAATATCCTTTATTAAAAAATTGCGACATCAGAATATAAATAATCAAAACATGCATTTAAATCCACACTAAACGTGTATACAAAATTTCAGCTCTACCGGTTGAAGGCATTAGCTCTTCAAAATTGATTTGCAAGAATCCATCCGAGAAAATTACTTTAGTTAATATCTTTTTAACTAATTGCAATATCGGAATATAAAGGGTCAAAACATACATTGTCATCCAAACTAAAAGTGTATACAAAATTTCAGCTCAATCGGTTGAAGACATCAGCTTCAAAATTGAAATGCAAGATTCCACCCGAACATTTTACATTGCAAGTTAAATAAAAGATTGTGTAAAATAATGAAGACCTATTGTGTTGTGTGAGTTCAAACTATAATTAGATGCACATTTGAACGACTTCCTTTAAATAATATTTTAATATATATCTACTTCACTGTACAACACATTACTAATTACCCCATACAATTTCATAGTTGCGTGTTATTTATATACAATCCTCCACTCAGTCACAGTTAAGTCTTTAACTGGTTACAGTTAAATATACCACATCTCCTCCCTCCTTAAAGAACAAGTCTCTCCGGAGGCCGCCTGATTCTCCCGGAACGCCTAGGAAATGGCCTGTCTGGAACTGGTGGACTCCTCATCTCGGAGTCAGTCTCTTTAGCTGAAGACTGTGATAGATCTGGGACCGCAACATCAGTTGATGGCACTCCTTGTGCGGAAGATGAACCCAATTCTTTGTTCAGATCCTTAGAAATATCTTCCGCCGTTTCTGCATGCTGAATATTAGAGTTGTTTTCTCGAACCTCTGATGATGGAAATCTCTGGTGCATAAGTGGAACGATGTTTTCTTGCACTTTATCCCCCACTGGACGGATCTGATCAACATGTCGTCTCACGAGGGTTCCTTGAACATCAATGATGTAGTGGAGTACGCCATCCTGGTTTACAATGGTACCAAACTTCCATCTAGTATTAGCTGCTCTGTAAACTCTCACAGCCACTCGATCTCCAACATCAAATTTCCTATCTCGGAATTCGAAATTATCTCTTCGTAATTTATCCAGAATTTTTGTTTTCAATTCAGGTAAAAGTAAATCTATCCTGGTTCTAATGTCTCTTTTTTAAGAATAACATGGCTGGACTAAGTGTTGTAGTTACATTAGAGCTTTTCGGTATTGCATTAAAAATGTACTTAATTTCTGCTGTATAGTACCTTCGTATTTATGCATAGCTCTTAATGATTGCTTTAAAGTAGCAACATAACGTTCTGCTTGTCCATTACTAGAAGGCTTGAAAGGTGCACTAGTTTTGTGCCTAACTCCATTTTTATGCATAAATCGCTGAAATTCATAGGATGTAAACTGAGATCCATTATCGCTGACAAGTACCCTAGGTAATCCGAATCTTGCAAAACTATCTCGAAGACATTCGATGGTTTTCTTGGTTGTGGTTACCTTCATAGGGTATACTTCTAACCATTTCGAATGAGCGTCAACGATCAGAAAAACGTGTGTTCAAAAATTGGTCCAGCAAAATCTACATGAATACGTTCCCAGGGCATACTGGGATATTCCCAGTAATGAACTTTAGATTTTGGAGAGGATCAGCCTTATATCTAGCACAAGCGACACAGTTTTTTGCGGCTTCTTCAATATCGTTATCTATATTTTTCCAATAGACAAACGATCTAGCTATAGCCTTCATTTTTACTATTCCTAAGTGTCCAGCATGTAATTCTTCCAGAACGTCCTTCCGAAATTTCCTTGGAATACAGACCCTTTGTCCGTACATAATACAACCATCCTCAATGGTATACTGGGCTTCCCTCCCTTGCAAATCTTTACCTTCCCTTAAGGCTCTTAAGAGTGGACCCAGCTCTATATCTTTACTCGTCTCCTGTCGTAACTCCTTAGAAGTAACCGGTAATGCTTCAATCTGTGACATCTCCATTCTACATCTACAGGAGCATTTACAACGGCTGAGATCTTTTCGTCAGTTTTATGTAACCCTTTTGAATCGATTCTATGCCCAAGAAAATTTATTTCATTTTGGAAAAACTTACTTTTATTTAAATTAAGCTTTAGCCCGTGTTCTCTACATTTCTTAAAAATTCCTCTAAAGCTGTAAAATGCGAAATTTCATCTCTCGCTCCCTGTTATTCTAGCATCATCCATAAAGACCTTGACTCCATCCATACCCTGAAATAGTCCGTCAACATAGCGCTGCCAAATAGCAGGTGCCCCATTTAATCCATACATAAGTCTTTTACAAATATATAATCCTTTGTGGGTATTTATAGTCATTAATTTATGACTGTCGGGATGGACTTTCATTTGCAAATATGCATGCTTAAAATCTAATTTTGTAAATTGTTTTCCCCATTTAAACTACCAAAAATTTCATCCAATCTTGGTAAAGGATGCTGAGGAACAATTAAATTTGGATTCAGGGTTACTGAATAATCAGCACATAGAGTCTTATACTACCATCGGATTTAACAACAGGGACTACTGGGGTTGTCCATTCAGAGCTGTCGACTTTTTCTATGATACCCTCTTTTTCAAGTCTGTCAATTTCGTTTTCAACTCTACCTTTGAGAGCAAAGGGTACTGTTCGAACCCTACAAAATATAGGTTTTACTCCATGTCTGAGTTTTAATTTAGCCTCATAATTGTTTATTTTTCCTAATTTATCATCGAAAATATCCTTATACTCTCTTAGAAGGTTATTTAAATTTTGTTCGATTTTTGCTCTAAAAGCTTTAATAGCCGGTCAATCTAAATGAATTTTATAGAGCCATTCCCGACCCAGAATAGTATCTAAGTTTTCTTTCACAATGCATAAGTTCAAGTTTACTTTTTGATTTTTATATTGTACCCTTACAGTAACATATCCTAATGGTATAATTGAATCTCCTTTATATGTTTTAAAAACTATATTTGTAGGTTTAATTTGTTTATTTGAAATTTTCCTGAAATTTCCAATACTCATTACACTAACCGCTCCCCCCGTATCCAATTCCATAGAACAACTTTTGTTTTCAATTTTTAAATTTATCATAATTGGAGGTCGTTTTGGTTCTTCCTCGTGTAATATATAATCCTGAATTTTTAATTCGTATAGTGGAATTCTATTTCTATCTTCAACTTCATTTAATAGAGTTACCTGTTTTTGTTTAACAGATTTCGCATTTGCCTTTTTAGATGCGAAGCATGCCTGTTTAATGTGCCCAATTTTCCCACAGAAATTACATTTACTTGAAATAAATCTACAATTCTCTTTTGCATGGTTGGTACCTGTGCATCGTGAACAATATAATGTTTTCTTTCGGCTTTTTGTAAAATTGGATTTTTTATCCATGTGTTTTTAAAAGTTTGCATTGAATTTATTGCTCGGCCCATAATATCATTTGTCCCTTTAAAAGCTTTTTCCATAGCCAGTGCTATATTTAGCGTTTTCTCGAGATTAATATTATCTTCCTCAAATAATCGATCTAAAATCATTTTATCCCGCAACCCGCTTACAAATACGTCGCGTAACATAATATTCAACATATCTTTATCATAATCACAATTCATTGCTAGAGCCCGAAGCTCGGCAATGTATGTACTAATACCTTCCCCTTCAGTCTGTTTTCTGTTTAAAAATTTGTGACGAGAAGGTATAATTAAAGGTTTTGGGGTCAAATGTTTCTTAAGTGCATCTTTTAATTTATCTAACGTTTGGTCGGAAGGAATGTCAGGTGCAAGCAAATTCTTTAGTAACTGGTACAATTTTGCACTAAGAGACGAAACAGAAACCTTAGCTCGATTTGCTATTGGTACATTCTGTACATCTAAGTAAGTTTCGAATCTTTCAATGAAACTATCGAAATTTTCACATTTTCTTCATCAAATTTGTCAAATTGTACAGTTACTTTATGACTATGAGAATCGTCTCTAATTTGCAGCGCTCGAATCAAATCTTGATTCTGCCGGAGTAAGTCTGCAATTTGCTGTTCCATGGTTCCTTCCGATTAAAGAGAGAGAAAAAATTTCCTTTACCTTGAGCAGTTTTCAGGCAATGCCTTATCCAAAAGAATCTCCAATATATCCCATCTTCGTCGCCAACTATTGTGTTGTGTGAGTTCAAACTATAATTAGATGCACATTTGAACGACTTCCTTTAAATAATATTTTAATCTATATCTACTTCACTGTACAACACATTACTAATTACCCCATGCAATTTCATAGTTGCGTGTTATTTATATACCATCCTCCACTCAGTCACAGTTAAGTCCTTAACTGGTTACAGTTAAATATACCACCAGACCCAATTTGTAATATTAAAAAAAATAAATTTGTTGTTCGTTGGTTCCAGTGTGGCAAAAAAAAGCGTTTTAGGCTCATTTTAATCTTGTATTTTTTAACAAATTCTCTTCTTCTTGTGAACATAATTTGTGTGATGCCTGTACTTTTGTGACAGAATCAATACTTTGTATGGGGTAGCTCGATAGTATACCGTAATAGTACAGTATTTGTCTTAGGAGGCCACTTCGTCGGGCATTTC